GTGGTAGACATAATGGTATCGTATTAGATAGTGGTGATGGTGTATCTCATACAGTACCTATCTATGAAGGTAAAACATTTTTTATTATTCATTTGTTGTTTCTCTTAAGTTAGAAATTGAATTCTCTAGGTTATGCTCTACCACATGCAATAAGTCGTCTTGATTTAGCTGGACGAGATTTAACTGATTGGATGGTTCGTCTATTAACAGAACGTGGTTATTCGTTTATATCTACAGCCGAGCGTGAAATTGTTCGAGATATTAAAGAAAAACTTGCTTATGTTGCATTAGATTTTGAACAAGAATTAGCAGCTGAAAGTCGCTCGAGTAGTATCGAAAAGAACTATGAATTACCGGATGGCCAAATTATAGCTATTGGTAATGAACGTTTTCGATGTCCTGAAGCACTTTTTGCACCAGCTACCCTGGGTCGAGAAGACAACGGTATTGCTGAAATGGTTTATAATACTATTATGAAATGTGATATTGATATTCGAAAAGAACTATATAGTAACATAGTGTTGTCAGGAGGTAATTTTACTATTAGTTGATATTAATTTAAATTATCTATGTTTGTTATTTATAGGAACAACTATGTTTCCTGGTATTGCTGATCGTATGCAAAAAGAGATGACATCATTAGCTCCATCAGCCATGAAAGTTCGAATTGTTGCTCCTCCAGAACGTAAATATGCAGTGTGGATTGGCGGTTCAATACTTAGTTCATTAGCAACATTTCAATCGATGTGGATTTCGAAGCAAGAATATGATGAATCAGGTTCATCAATAGTACATCGAAAATGCTTTTGAATCAATCCATATATTTTAATGTAGATAATGTAATTTGTTCATATTTAAAATAAAACTTAAAAACGAGAAAAATTCTTTTTGTCTAATCGGATATGAATTAACCTCTTACAAAATAGAATATTCGGGGGGGGGGGGGGTAGATGTGGGCGTTTGTATCATATTTTCCTACACCTACGCGCACATCCCACCCTTGAAAAAGTATCTCCGATTCTATTTCTCGTTTTTCTTGTTAGTGACTGGAACAGCTTATGTAGTTATCTAGTGTCCTATTTGGTGTTCTCTTCTCTACATCTTTGATAATACCAACGGCTACAGTTTGTCGCATATCACGCACGATAAAGCGGCCCAATGATGGATAATCAGCAAATTTTTCAACACACATTGGTTTTGTTGGGATCAGTTTAACAATAGCACAGTCACCTGATTTGACAAATTTTGGAGCGTCTTCAATAGCATTACCTGTTTGAAGACCAATTTTTGAGATTAATTCAGCAAATTTACATGCTATATGAGCCGTATGACAATCAAGAGTAGGTGTATAACCTTGACTGATTTTGCCAGGATGATTAAGTACAATAATCTACCAAAAGAAGATAATAGATTAACGAGAATAACAGATAACCATAAACTTACTTGAGCAATGAGGCTAGAAGCTTCTTGTGCTGGATCATTATTTGAATCTGAACAAACAAATCCACGATGAAGCTTCCGAGCACTGACATCTTGAACACCGAAACCAATGTTATCACCAGGTAAAGCTTCTACAAACAAAACAATATCGTTTGCATATCACCTAACAAAAATATACTTTACCGTCCATACGCTCATGATACATTTCGATCGATTTGACTTCTGTTGAGAGGTTTGATGGAGTAAAAGTGATCTTCATATTAGTTTTGAGTATACCAGCTTCAATACGACCCACAGCCACTGTAACAGTGTCACTAATTGTATATACATCCTGGATAGGAAGCCGAAGTGGTTTTTCGCTTGGATGCTGTGGTGGAATAATTGCATCGATAGCTTCTACCAGAGTCTTTCCTGTAACACTACCTTCTTTACGTTCAACTGTCCATCCTTTGTACCAAGACATATTTACTGATGGATCGATCATGTTATCACTGTACAATGCAGATACTGGGATAAAGGCAATACTTTCTGGTTGATAACCAATCTCTTCTATATATGTCAATAATTCGCTTTTTATTTCATTGAATCGTACTTGAGAAAATGGTGGATCGGTTGTATCCATTTTATTCACAATAACGATCATTTGTTTCACACCTAAGGTATACATAAATAGTGCATGTTCACGAGTTTGACCATCCTTGGAAACATCGACTTTGAATCCATTTAAACCAGCAGATACAACCAAAAGTACGCAATCAATCTAATGCAATATTATATATGGAGAGTTATCTAGCATACAAATAGGTACGTACCTGAGAAGCATCTGTAATCATGTTCTTAATAAAATTTCGATGACCTGGTCCATCAACGATGGTAACATGTTGTGTTTTTGTCTCGAATTGATTCAGCGGAATACGAAGACAGATACCCCGTTCTCGAACAGCTTGTAGTTCATCCATAACCAATACATATTTTGACTTAGTTTTGCCTAGCTAATAATCATTGGAAATATATGGTTACATAAGTTTTTTCAATCTAAAAATACCTCAGCAGCTTCTTTTTTATATCGTTCAATAATTCGCTTATCAATTCCACCGCATTCGCACATAAGATGACCAAAACAAGTCAATTTACCCGCATTAACATCACCAAGGACAACAATATTAATGTTTCTCTTTTCTTTACCCATTTTTTTTGCATGAAAATATTTTGATCTTCAAGGATGTGTTTTATTTTAGAAATTTGTAAGGCTTTTATTTATTCGATGATTCGTATACAAATCAATATATTCATATAATTTGAAAAAAGGCTACAACATTGGTATTTCTTGGTTCAAATCCAACTATTTATCTATCATATCTATTGTCTCAAAGTTGCAATATACTTCAATATTCATTTAGTCATTCAGTTATTTGGTACATATTGGTAGTGTTTCTTAATGTATTCATTTCGTCATTATAGATATAGAAAATTTTAGAGCACTTCAAAATCGAATGTTTATATTGGCAGACTGATTTATGATATTATTTTTAGTCATAGTATATTGATTGTACATGTTGTCGAACAAACAATGTCATCTAAAATAAATTCATTTTTATCAGATAATTAAGTCATCCATCATTATTTTCCAGGGCATCAGTCTCTGATAGAAACAATTTTTTCGATTGATTCTCATCGTTAAATAAATTAATTTAGAATTATCTTTCAAATAGATCAAAACCAAAAAAGTATTATTCATTAGTATATAATATTTAATATTGTTTCATGCATAATGCTTGAGGAGATCTTGTAGAATATAAGTTCTTTTAGTTTTTATAAGCAATCAGTAATATTCTTTTAGATTATAATCGATCTAAAAATTTAGAGCATATAATTCTGACGAGCATTTTACAAAGATGTAAATAGCCACATGATGAGTATCTGTTATAAATTCACTTCTCTCGTTGCATACAGGGTCATAGGACGTTGCGCTTTTGATTCTACTTATTCTTGCTATCACTCTTTCTTTCTTATTTCTATAAGGGAAGATACGATTTAACCCCTATTGCCTTCTGATATTTCGTTTATTGAGAGGAGTTTGAACATGAGCTCTCGAAAACACAAAGAAAAATAATGGTTTCAATGAACACTGAATCAATATTATAAATGACAACATGTTAGTAGTTGAGGATATCAATCAAAATATAAATATTCTTCATTAACAATCAACATCTTTATCAGATGCAATAACAATTACACAAAGGGTAACTAATTCCTATCATTGAACATAATAGGCAATTCTAGGTGTGAGTATCGAAGAAGTAAGAAACCACATTTACTCACACCTTCTGATTCCTTTGTCTTGGATCAGGTTACTTTTTTTTGCCTCCATGGTTAAAAAGTTGGATGAGATAAACAAAGTTAGGATAACGATACAGTTGAAGACTCCTTCAATTTTTGTGTACTGTCGGCACCAGAATTAAATGTTGATTGATGTAAGACAGATATCTCGAGAATGGCAATAGCTGTTGATCTGCGCTTTTCACCAATCCAAAGAGACTGAATTAGGACATATTTTCATATAATCTTATACCAGGTGAAATTCTTACCTAATACATCGTTTTTGGCAATGTCTTCAAAAAATGTGTAATAATGCACATAGTTCCAACAAAGTTTTCATTCTGATGTCTATACTAGAAAGAGGAACTACAGCTATATAGTTCAAGATATAATTCGAATGGTTATCTTCTCAAGTCTAACGTTCAAGCAATGAATTCGACCAATTGCTTGCGGAACTAATAAGGAATTGCGTTGAGTCTTAACCAAATTTTTTCACTTTTTGCCAAATTATTATGGAAACATAAAGTCATTTTAATAAAAATTTTTGAAGAATTCTAGTGCACTCATGAAAATTCAAAACCCACAACTTTTACATTACGCAATGGCTTGGTTTTTTAGAAACCTGTCAGAAAAATCTGACATATATGGGTCTATATAGTTTCATTGCCTCTTTCAAGGATGTGGTTGTGAGTGGCTGTGGCTGTGTTGTTCTTAATTCAACACAAACTCACTCCCACATACACCCACAATGAAATTAATTTTTTTTATTGTAATGATCGAATTGTTGCATGTTATCGGTACGAAACAATTAATTACTCAAAAAGAGATTTTTATTTCGACAAAATCGAATCGAATTTTGATAGGAAAAAAACAAATTACAAGTATATATTTTAATATATACTTGATGTTCAGTAGAACAGTCGCTTGAACATAAACTCTTGGCATTGTAAATTCCATCAACATTCATGATGAGTGTCAAAAAAAAAATTCTGCACTCCTTTGTATGAACTGTTTGATCAATATCACCGTCGTAAATATCGCTTATCGTGCGATGGAAGGTCGTGTACTGTTGGGCACAGATATTGACCATTTTGGAGCCAAATGATCACTTCCACCGAGAAACTAGCGAATTTAACAGATGAGCTGCGCATGGTATGACTGAAAGAAGAAATTGAACTGTTAAGTTAGGAGCTATATTGATATAGAAGTATGATAATATATGAGCTATTCACATACACTTCTAAATGCAATGATCACGTATTTTTACAAGAAACTGGTGTTCAAAATGTTGCGAAGATTTATTATTATTGTTGACATAAATCTAGATTCAACTCCTTCTGAAGTTTAATAGTAACCCTTGGGAGAAGTATTGATTATTATGCATAGAAACTCATCATTCATCGATACATTCGACTTTATTTCATGTGATAATAATAAATCATGCAAAGTAATATTTCAAAAGATGTACTATAAATGAAAATGAAGATCTTCAATCAACTGATAGTAAAAAATGTGTTCTTTTACATCGAGCGCAAATGAGAAGGGTTTGTTCCCCAAAATTAATAACTGGCCAATAAAAGTCATAGAATTTAAATCAAACGTGCTTTAGTTTGTAGATTTTATCAATTATTCTGTTGAGTATTTTAACTTGTACGAATTCAGACTTTTGAATTGAGGAAAAGATAGCTGATTATGGCTGATAGAATGGATATTCATAAAATATTGACGATCGTTCAAGTTCATTTCTATTTGATTAATATTAATGCACTTAATTTTTTAGATATTTTATGTGTGGACACTTTAAATATAATACTGGTACTTTTTTCGAATTCGATAATGTTACAATTCAGAACAATTTGATTTGAGAGTCATGTCAAAGATGTCAATCCGTTTCAGCAAGATTTTGAACACTCGTTTCCTGTAAAAAGTACCTGATGATTGTAGTGACTGTATCTTTTTTTCCCGTTTCAATAGTTTCGCTATTTTTTATACGAAGAATAGAGAAAATTGTATTATATGGCGAAATGTATAACTGATCAATTGCAGTTCGTTTAAAAATGAGAAGAAATCTTTTATTGATCAAATTATGAAAGAGAACGTTGTGGTTTTTCACTGATTCTCTTTTCATCAGTAATAAAAATCCATAAGAATATCATTATTAGATGAAAACTGTTAGGGTAACGATCAATAAGAACTTTCGAATGGAATGACTTGTTGCAATAAAATCGAACGATGTTCGAACCCTTGATCAAATTGATCAATGCTTATGTTGATCTTACTTAGAAGAATAGATTATCTGTTGTCTTTGTTCTATTTTTTCTGATTTGTAATAGTAAACACATGGCCTACGAAGAGATTATCTTGATCAAAGCAGCGCACAAGGATAGTGATGAAAAGCAGAAAATGGTCAGTCTGTGTTAGTGATGATGATGAAGAAGTACAAGAAAAAGTTCGATTACTGTTAGAAAGATGAATAATCACGAAGACCATGAAACACAATCACAGATACAATTGCTTAATCATTCTGCTTGGTATTTATCTAATATCAATTATCACTCCGACGAACATTTATGGGTGTGGGTGTGGGTGTGGGTGTGGGTGTGGGTGTGGGTGTGGGTGTGGGTGTGGGTGTGGGTGTGGGTGTGGGTGTGGGTGTGGGTGTGGGTGTGGGTGTGGGTGTGGGTGTGGGTGTGNTTGTTTTTTTAATAAAACCTATTTAGCGATTAAAATATGAAATACAAAGCGCAACCATTTATTATGGAACATTCGTTATTTACATTTTACAGCTTTTTGTATATCTTTAGTTTTCGTCTTTTTTCAAATATACCTAAAACTATTTTTGAGCCTAGTCATCTATGGTTTTGTAGAGAATTTTAAGCGCTATCTTTTGATAATAATGAGAGCTTTACTTACATTGATAATAGACAGGAAATCTTAAAAATACTGGGAGGCTCATTATTCCTGGGACACCCGATATAAGAATAGATATTTACTATACAAACAAAGTTTACTACAAATATTAAGGGTTTGGGTGTGGGTGGGATGGGTGTAGGCGTGAAATTGGATGTTTCATTCGCCCACACCCACACCTGTTAGCTTTCATATATGTAGAACGAAAGAGACAAGCAGTGTCACTGATGTTATGTCCCAGAACGATGAAAAAGATGACCATCATGGGACTCGAACCCATACCTTCTGCTCTCCGGGCAGATGTCCTAACCCAATTAGATTAGAAGGCGCATCTTAATCATCGTTTAGCGTCCAAGTGATTCATCATGGACGCTAAAAACACCCCACACCCACACCCATACCCATCATGTAGGGGTGAACGAAAGTATACAAGGTCACTTTGGGGCTTATCTGGCGAGTCACCAAAGTAAGGCAAAACATTGACCGAACTAGCTGAAATTTATATGACAGACTACTAACTATGAGCGCTACGATTGCTGAAAGTTTTATGAAAGACTGATTATGTTTTCTATGAGAACCGATAACAACCCAAAACGTCCATTCATTCCTATAGAAAGAACGCTACTGTATAACATTTCTTCATTTCGCATTTTGTCACATTAAAAACGTGACGATCCGGATCCAGTGCATCTTTTAGAGCAAATGTTTCTCTACAAAATCCTATATATGG